TAACTCTTTCTTCTAAGTTAGTAAATTTTTTTAAATTAATAATATAATTTTATTATAATATCTAGTTAGTATATTATATTTATATAGTTAAATATAGTATATTATAAATTAAAGTAGTTTTTTTTATAACTTAATATAATATCTTTTTTAATAACTTCTAAAGTAAGAATAATTCTACTTTTTTTTANATATCTTCTATAAGTAGTTATTAAGTAATATATATATACTAAGATAGAAGATAGTAAAACTTAGTAGAGTAGCCTACTTACTTATCTAGCTTACTTACTTATTAACTATATTATAACTAGTTATTTATTATTAACTAATAATAAAATAATACTTATATTAATATAAATATTTATTTATATACTAAGTAAATTAAGGTTAAAATATACTTAAAAATATAAATATATTTATATATAATTTAAGGGCTTATTTTACTTAGTTACTAATATTTTAATATATATAATAAGTAAGTTAGTTATAAAAAATAGTTTTATACTTATTATTATTATAAAAAAGGTATTTAGTACTATTATTATAAAAGAAATATTTAATACTATTATCTTAAAAAATATAAGTATAATATTTAAATAAAGATAAAAAATAAAAAGGGTAATATTATTTAAGTTATTATAACTAGTTTTAATTTTATTATAATATAAATAAATATATTAATATAATTTATCATTTATTAAAAATATTTTTAAGTATTATTTATATATAAAGGTCTTAATAACTATATAAACTATAAAATAGTCTAGTATTTAAATGAAAAAGGTGAAATCTTTAAAGGCTAGGAAAACTATTTATATCTTATTTAATATTATTATAGTTATATAAATAAAATAAATATCTATTATCTTTATTTTATCTTTAATATTAGTCTTAAAGGCTATAATACTTATTTTTTTATAAAATAATTAATTATTTAGTTATTATAATTAATTATATTTAAACTAAAGTCTTTATAATTATAATTATTACTTTATAATTAATATTTATTTAATTAGTTATAATCTTAATTTTATATAACCTAATTATCTTAATTTTAATAATAGTTATAATAATAGGCTATAGTTTAATATAAATAATTACCTTATAACTATTACTTATTCTAGAGCTTATTATTAGTATAGTTATTATAATTATTACTCTAATTATAATTATTATAGTTATTATCTTAGTTAAAGTTATTATAGCTATTACCTTAGTTTTAAGTATTATAATTATTACCTTTATTATAGTTATTATTATTATTAAAAAGTAGTTTAGTTTTATTAGAAGTTTATCTTTACTATTTACTATATAATAGGGCCTATTTATTACCTAAGGTAAATAGCTTTATATTATATATTTAAAGTAAATAAAGACTATTTTAGGCTTAATAAAAAAAGGATTTACTAGGGGGCTAAGATTAAATATTATATAATTAATATAATAATTAACTTATTTAGCTTTATTACTATAACTATTACTAGGTTAAGCTAAACTATTATTAAATAGGGTTTAATTAGGTTTATTAGGGTTAGGGTTAATTATATTACTAAATAAGGTTATAAGTATTTTATTATAGGTTTTTATTACTTTTTAAAATAGTAAGGTTATAAATAATAGTTTAATATTTATAAATAACTTATAAAAAGAATTAAGGTATAATCTAAAAGGTAAGGACTAGTATAATAGCTTAGATTTTAAAGTCTAGGGTATTATATATTTATTTAAGTTATATATATAAGTTTTAATTAATAGTTTATATATTTTCTAAAATATAAATAATATATAAGTTAATATTATAATATATTATATATATTTAGTTTAGTAAATAATATTATATTTTAAGTTTTTAATTAATATTTAAAAATAATAGTTTAAATTATTTAATAATTTATTTTATAATCTTAAATACTAATATTATAACTAAGTAGTTATAATTTATTATTATAAAGATACTAATATATTACTAGAAGACTATACCCTAAAGATATATAAGCTAAATATTATATATAGCTTATTTATTATAAAAAATATAATAAACTAGTAGTTAGTTTACAAAGAAATAAATATAAATATAAATAATATTTTTATTATTATTTATTATTAAACTAATATTATCTTTATTTAAATAAGCTTAGTTTAGTTTAAAGAAATAAATATTATTTTTATAAAGGCCTTTTAATATAAATAAAATATAATTAAGTACTAGTAAATTATTTTAAAAGTAATTATATATTTAAATTACTATAATACTTATAATTTAAATTATATATATCTTTAAGCTAAAGAAAGAGTTTATTATAGTCTTTATAGCTATTATCTAAGGTTAAACTTTAAATATTAAGCTTATAAATATAATAAATATTATTAAAACCTAAGGGTATTAATACCTTATACTAGTCTATTACTAATAATCTCTTTATTAATATAAACTAGTTTATTATTAATAGTTTATTTAAAGGTAAAGTTTAGTTTACTAAAATAAGTTAAATAATTAATAATATATAAACTTTTTTTTAATAAATAAGTCTTACTAAAGAGATATAACTACTTTATTATTTATAAAAGTATTTACTATTACTACTTATTATAGGTATAGTCTAAGTAAGCTTTTTATTTATTTAAGTTAATTAAGCTAAGTTTAAAATAAAAACTTATAAATAAGTTATTTTATAAGCTTATTATCTTTATACTTAAAATAATAATAAAATATATATTATTTTTAAAAGTATAAAAAGATATTAAGATAGTTTAGTTTATTTAAGGGAGAGGTAGTTTATTAAATAACTTAAATAA